AATTTAATAAACTAGAAATACTTAAATTTTTTATCATTTATAATAAAAACTTATCGATGCGTTTCCTATATTTGACAAAATATTTATATACGATTTTATTGTATCGAAATAATAAGATAATAAAAAATCCTATATAGCCTAAGATTTGCAATTTTTCAAATTTTTTGCTGCGTAAAAAATTGAAAACTGATGATCAGAAAATTCAAAGGAGAAACTATTTTTTAATATTAAAAAAATATGATATTTTTAAATATTCACACATATAGATACAATAAAGATAAAGAAAAAAGTAGCATTTAGTGTATATGTACACAATATACACCGAGACTAATATTAATTAAATTCACCGTATAATTACCCATAAAGTGAGAGTGAAAATCAGACGGAAACTGACGCCTGCTTGTAAGCCAGTGAGTAGTGTGTATATTGTTTCCACAACCTCTGGACCAGTCCCAAAGCGTCAGTCTAATGTTTAGATCGCCGAAGATGTGGCGCTCGTTAGAAGAAACACGCTCATACGGTACCGCGAATTTCAATGCACTTGACCGAAATTTACGTAAAGCTCAATTTTTTATTTTACGTAATTTAATAAGATACACAATAAAACATATATATATATATATATTATATTATGCGATTTGATTAAATTATTCCAGTAATAATCATGCGTTTATATTATATATAATAATTAATTAATAACGGTATTATCTCCGAATATCTTTACTAATTTCAGATAAAATCAATCATATTGAGATAGAACATTGCATTAATAGAGACTGTATTTTACAAAAATAGATAGGATTATAATACATTAATTATTTAGAACCATTTGCCAAATTAATTTATTGTGTGATGGACAAAATCAACTGAATATATAAACGTAGATGAAAAAAACATTAAATAAAAGTATAAAAAGAATAAAATAAAGAAAACTTTCCATGAAGATCAATTAGGAAAGTTATGTGTATAAATATAAAATATTTCTCCCGCTCAACTTACACAATTATCGTTATTGATCAATTTCACAAAGATATTCAATTTGAATTCAATGTTGCAAACAATTTAAACGACAATTATTCGCATCGGACAATACCAGGAATATACAGTCGAGCCACGGTATCATTCAAACACACCAAGAAAAATATTATTCCAGCGGCTATTGGTTTTTCTGTACCGGATATCATATCATCGATTTGGAGTAAAAAGAATAACGCACAAATTTACATATACACTTTCGCTTATTATGTATCATATTTCTCCCGCATATATCAAGAGAGATCGCGCGTGATTTATTAAAGTTTTACTTGTATGAAATCATAATATAATTGTTCAATATTTTTAAAAGATATTTATTCCTCTTATGATTCCTCTTGTGATAACATTGTCATTTTAGAAAAGTCCGAAAAATTTTAAATGAACGTTGTGAAATTTATAACGACCTTGTATGTATATAATAATTATATAATACAATTATATTGCACGAATCGAAAGATTATCGTAATGTGGCGAACAAAAAGCAATAATTAAACAACTTATATGTATAATAAATAAAATGTATTGTTTAATAATGGCATATATATATATATATATATATATATATATCTCAACACGGTCCACAAGACATAAATCGATAAGGCAATAAAACAACTAAGGCGCGTAGTTCGATTGACCTTATTCCATAAACTAAACAAGATATTTAATACAAAACAGAGAGAAGCAAAAGAGGAAATAGGAACCTCAACCATGAAACGCGTATCCAATTATGTAGAATGTAAACGGATAATTGATAACAAACTTGATGAATGTATATAATATACAGGCAACTTATTCAATACAAATAACTTTGAAAATGAAACACGGATTCTCGATGAGCCCCATTTTGCGCTATAAGATGTAAAATCCGGTGAGAGAGCTTTGACTACTGACCTTATTTTCAGGTAATTTAGTATACGCAACCTTTTCAAAACATGACGGCAAGAGTGTAAATTAAACGAAAGTTGATCTGCTGATTCATGTTAGACCGGCAGCTTTTATCGTCTTACAACGCCCAACATGAGGTTTCGCGGACCCCACGTTTTGCTTGAAAAGTTACATATACCGGCGTCCTGCGCGCTCGTAAAGTTTATAAAAGTTATTCGTCTACATCCTGTAAATGACTTGCAAAGAAAGAACGAATTGTAACACGGAAAGCGAAGCATGGAACAAGCAAGATGTGGCGAGAAACGAGAGAGATGGTGACACGACTTACGCAACAACGGCAAATAACGCTAATGAGTTTGCTACTTGTATTCTTTCAGTAGGAAGCTCTTCTTGGAACAAACTCATTGCTAAAGAATGGTACGAAAAGGAGCGGCACGTTTCGCATCTTTCAGAAATTTAGGAGACAAAAATATGTATTATATGTTATACACATATAAAAAGTTGAAAAATAGTAATATTGTATATATATATATATATGTATAATAATTATGAATGAAATATGAATTATGAATATATTTCTATAATGAAACGATATCTTTAAGAGTTAATATTTTAATTTCAAAAAGTTTTGTGTCATATACGTAGAAACTATAATAAATATCAATATGTCAAAACGTAACTCTTACTGAGATCCTTAGTAACATCTCTAATAAACACAGCGCGAATATAGGTGACAAGAATAAATAAGATTAGTACACGTGTGCGGACATCATCACACCGACCTAATTAGATATCGCGAAAAAGCCGCAAATGCATAACCGCCATAAATATTCTGTAAAATACGATCATACATTTCTAAGCATCTCTATTCGTTCATTTCGTAATGAGTTTCCTCTACACGATATTATTACGTGTAGTGTACCGTTATTTACCGTACATATGTAAACAGAAAACGAAAGGAAAAAATTGAGATCTGCCGGAATTTAGATTTTCCTTGCCACTTCTATGTTGTCTTTTTAACAATCTAAAAATACAAAGAAATAATAACTGACCTACATTTCATTATTTATTAAAGTATATCACTAAATCATATATCATTATTTGATGATATATGGTACATACTTTTGTCATAAATAATGAAATATCTTATCATTATAGTTTGTAAATTTGCAAAAATCTAAATGTATAATAAATAAAACTAAATATAAAAAATAATGCCTAAACGAGCCAACACCAGCTGTTCATGTAAATCTCAATCATTTACTCAAAATCATTTACATAAATATAAACGTTTCGATTCTATAGTTTGGCGGGTCCTCTTCAATACAAACAGTATATATGCCAAATATCAACTCAATAAAATTAAAAAAAGATTCATGTTTAGTATAACGCACAATGATTTATAATAAAAGCTTAGATTTCTATCAATTTCTCATATATAATACTTTTTACTTCTCAATATATTTTGTATTAGGTAAAACCGAGTTTTCTCTATCATTTCAGCTTTCTCATCATTCATATTGCGAGGGGTAATATTGCTGAAGGCATTGCGGTATACAGATTTGGGACATTACTGGGTATTACTAGGTATTACTTAAAATTGTGTATTATAATAAGAGGTATCAGGTTATACCTCTAGAGTATTAATGGACATTATCAGGAAGTCAATTGTGTATCTTAAAATGAGGTGAAAATTATAAAAGTAAACAAATTTACTAAAATATTCATAATTTAATTAGCCAATACGTAGTAACCTTCACTCACTTTTGTAATTTTCTCAAAGTCAAGTCTGAGGGGTGTATTAATAGGTATTACTAGAACATTAATAGGCATTAATGGTATATTAATAGGGCACTTGATATAAAAATAAGAAATAGCGTTACTTGGACATTACTAGGCATTAGCCAGCATTGATGTACACAATTTTAGTCAGTAATTTACCCTTTGATATTGCGTTTCTTCCAAGTTTCTTTAATATCAAAGAGACATTTCTTTTAAACATGCTTTGCGCAGATGCTTTGTACAGAAAAGTATAAAGATAATACGCAGATTTTTATATATCGCTGTTTGAGATCACAAATATATGTAAACAGAGGTAATCTACTTTTAGCCTTTATACAAGACATTGTATAAATTTGTAAAAATGTAGACCATGTCATACAACACGCAAAACTTGACATTAAGTTTTACCACATTTTTCACATATAATATATTTCTCTTCTTACACATAGAAAAGTAGTTTTCAGAGATGATGTATAGTAATGTTGTGTGTCACAAAATAAGGAAATAAATCAAGTTATAAAACAGTAGAAAATACGAAATTTTTTATATTTTCCAAAGTTTTAAAAAACGTATTTTCCAACTTTGTTGAAAATCGTGACCATATTTTCCATCACGAAATATAGGAACGTATCAAAACAATCAATCATAATCATTTTTAATCATTGTCAAACTTCACTACTACTGTTTGTATTCTCAAAATTTTCCTTAAGGTACGTCTAGACTATCGAGCCGAAACGCGAGCCGAGCAAAACCATTTTTGCAAATGGTCCCAATCTTTTTCAACTTCGTTAAAACAATATTTTGCAATAAAATTTTTTAAATATTATTTTAACGAAGTTGAAAAAGATTGGGACCATTTGCAAAAATGGTTTCGCTCCAAGAAAAATTTTGAGAATACAAACAGTAGCAAAAATACTATAAGAATTTTATTTTATCGACTCAACCATCCATTAATATTTAACAATGAAAGTAAAATACGTAATATATAATAGCATCAAACTTCGTTAAAGAAGAATTCAGTCGTCGTAGCATCCGTTATAGTTAGATTCCCGTTAATAATAACGACACTTCCCCCTTTATAAAAAAGCTGTTTTTCAGCTTCTTGATAATGATAGACCTCAACGATGCTCAGCAACTCGTGAGAAAGAAACGCATGTCGACGTATAAATCAGTAAATAATAACCGTAAAACCGCGCTCCGCGCGGAAGGAGCTAATGCCCGCAATGGGCACACCGATGGATGCCACGCCGCGCCGCTTGCATCAATCGCGAATAATTGTTATGTACTTTGCCACATACCTGGACTAGTCTGCCAAGATAGGCCGCCGATGAACATTTTCCTAGAAAAGAAAGACGATTCCATCAGGCTCGTCGTCCAGTCGCGAGTCGTTGGCGGAAGAGGAAGCGGCCGCGGGGAGACTGCCGGCAGAGGGTAACTTCCGGTACTATTTTGAAACCCCCTGCGCAGTCTCCCATCCTGGGCGGCAGGTGTCACCACACATCAACAATCGAACAACACCCATTTCCTTTTCTTTATTTATTTACTTTTTCGCGAACACGCGTTTCGTCGCCGACGCGCCGAAAACCGGAACGCGAACGGAACGCGACTTCCTCTCGGACCGGCACCTTCGTTTCACATCTCTTTCCTTTTTGCGCGCGCAGCGCCACACATCGAATCACGTATACACATTATCGACCCAATCGATCAGCCGACCAATTCATTATTTTGTTTCCGTATATTGGGAGATCCCGTCAATCTCGAATTTGCGCCGTCGCGTCGGAAGAAACCGTGAGGTATGTATATCTTATCTCTCGAAATCCACTATCAATACGAGTTAACGAAGAAGATAACAAATGTAGCAACTCGCTTAATATAATCATTACTTCAATACTTGAGATTAATCGCAGAAAAAAAATCGAATTTTCATATTAAAATTCTCACATCTGGATCTCTACATTAAGCAGAACGCAAAAATCCACAAGAAACTTTGCCGATAATATTATTAATTACGAAACTCGTTCGAAACTTTTCCATCGAGGAACACGTGCCGCGCTTATCGATCTACACTATTCGAAAGAGCAAAAAATCTTCCATGCTACCTGTTTTACAGATTGATGAATGAGATCTGTACGATTACAAACCATCTACATATACGACACGTATCTGCTAACGCTTTACGAGGATTCCGTGGTATCGTCATAAAGTGCTCTAGACGAAGACTTCTCACTATCAAGGTCGTCGAACAATAAAAAAAAAAAACGACGACCTCTGAGCTTTATAGATAGCGACACGAATAAACAGGCTGATTCGGGAGACCATCACCGGCTGATATATAATCTCCGAGGAAGCGAATTCGCTTGTCCCTCACGACGGGCAGTGACCATAATCGATCCACGTACGCGTCATTAATTAGCCGGCTTAAGTATCCGTCAGCGTGCGTCGATAAGGAAACGACCTCCCATCCTTTTCATTCATGATCTCGTCGCCCCCCTCCCCTCCCCCCTCTTCCACCTCGCGCGGATGAGGAGCGATCTCTCCCCCCCCCCCCC